AAATATTGGAAAGCTGTTTAATCCAGAATTAAAAATCTGCCATTATATTTTATGATATTAAATACTTCCAACTTTACATCTATGAGAGTTATAATATTTAGGGTATAATTATACAATATATTATATTTTATGTTTATAAATTTAATTATAAATGAGTAAACAATTTTTCTTGTTAAATAATAATCATAACATATTAATTATTATTTAATTTTTGTATATAACCTAAATGATAAATTAATCTATTAGCATACACAGTGCAAAGTATGTTACATCTTATTGAGACACTAGACATTAGAACTTAAATTAAAATAGACAATAATATAGAATACTATCTACTAACAAAAAATAAAATAAAATATATTTATAATAATTATAAATCCATAACAATTTAGAAAAAAGAACTATACCCCCAATTGTATTTAKATATCATATAATGAATTATGAACATGCAATCTAGAAATAAAATGGATTAGTAGCTAATAATGCTCAAGTGTGTTGATTGATGTTCATTATAAATTTATAAAATAATTATAACTTTTTTAGAAGTGTTTTACACATTTAAGTTTGGAATTAGTTAAATTTCTATAAATTGATCWAAGTAATAATAATGTCTTTAGATTGGTAAGTATCTATTTAAATTAAGCATTATGAAAACAATGCATATTTAAATTCTAAACCAAGAGAAAATTTTGTAGTTGAATGTAGTTTATTTATAAGTTACAAAGATTGTTAAGAAATCACCATAAGTGTTGTCCCAGTCTACTCATGACAGAACTGCATTCAATAAAACTAATTTAGTATTATTAGTTTTAATATTAAAGTGAATTGATCTAWAGTCAAACTTAAAGGTAAGAATATTATCTAGGTTAATTTTATTGATATTAAAATTTTAAAACTAGTTATGATGATATAAAAATTATAATATATTACATAGAAAGTTATGACACAATTTTAAATTAAAATATCAATAACAGATAATATTCTTATTTTAAAGTTAAATAATAGGTAAATTATTTATTCCATTGTTAAATTTAATAATACAAAATTGAACTTCTGAA